AGCTCCAGGAGGGACGAGTTCAGCCCCAGCCTAGCTCGCGGGGTCCCCGCCCAGGGCGCCCTGTGGCCAGGCAGGAAGAGCCGGGGGCTGGAGATGGGGAGACAGAAATTGGAGACCGGAGGGCAGGAAATGGAGACGGGAAGACACAGACCGGGTATCCCGTGGGCGATGGACGGGAGATGGAGATAGAGAGACGAGCAGACCCGAGGGAGGTGGGGAGACCCCAGGGCAGGAGATGGAGACAAGGCCCGGTGCCCCACAGCGCGTTTGCCCCGGGGCGGCGCTCACCGAAGTACACCTCCTTGTCGCATTTGGGACACTTGGGCATGGCGGCGGCAGCAGCGACAGCAAGAACAGACTGTGGGCTCGAGACTGGGTGGGTCCGGCCGGGTCCGCGCCTTTCAGGAACCCGGGACCCCGCCCCTTGGAGGCCCGCCCTCACGCCCCGCCCCCGAGCCGGTGGAGGGGGCATTGGACCCCGGGACCTTGGATCTAGACCAACAAGCGGAGGAGGGGCAGGGGGTGCACACCGCTGCCGGGGTGACCCCTACGGGGCCCAGTGCATGCTCTGGGGGCAATGACCGCACCTCCCCCAGCCGGGGCAGAATGGCGCACCTGCCACAGTTGGTACCTGTCGGAGCCTGGACGCACTTTGTCACTCCCAAAGCCCGAGGAAATGTGTGTGCATGCGGGACCCTGGCGACCCCCAAGGAGAGGGTGCAGGGGTTTGCCAGAAGGGCCTTGACCTGGCAGCCTCTGCCCTGCCCCTCCCTGGGGAAGCCCCGTGGAATGGCCTCAGGGGAGTCCAGAAGACTGCCGGAGGAGGTTCCTCTCCTGGGCCAGGAGGATGAACTGTGAGGGTTGAACCCTTATCTCCTCCGGGGAGTTGCCCAATGCACCCGGGTGAGGCAGAGGCCGCCTGACCTGTGCCAGGCGGAGATGGTCCGCCTGCCCCACCCTAGCCCAGCGGCAGCAGAGACCTGGGGCTGCACCCCTGCCCTCCACCCTGGGAACCAGCCTCGGGTACCGCCCTGGAGTGGATACCAGCCCCACTTCCCTGTTTATCCTCTAGGGGGCTTTGCCAGGTTCCCAGAGCTGGTGGCCAGCCAAGACCTCCTCCCCTGCCCTGGAGCCTGCATGCTGGGAGACCCCACCCTGGTCTCGTCTCAGGGCCCAGCATGAGGGCTTTCCCACCGTCCCTCTCCAGCTGCCGGCCCACCCATCAACCATCCTCATCTCCCCTCAACACACCCAGCTGGGGAAAACAACATCACCCCTGTCCAGGCGGGGCCTGCTGGAAGAAAACAGCCTCCTCTGCTGCTGCCCCAGGACCGCTCCAGGCCCCGTCCTCAACAGCCCGACCTCACCCTCTCTGCAGTCCCCAGGCCTGACACTGGAGCCACTGCACCTCCCATTTGGACACTGCTGGGCGGCCTTCCATTGGCCCCCAGCATGGGGAAGAGAGGACAGCTCCCAGGGAGGTGGGACAACTGAGGCCCCGCATGTCCATTGCAGAGTTCCACACCAAGGTGTGTCCTGCCCCCACAACTCTCTCCAGACATCTGAGGCCTCCGGTTGGGCCCCCACTGCAGCTCTGCAAGTGCCACAGGACCCAGCTGGGGTCCACCAGCCTGCCCATGCAGAGACTTTGCATGTCTGGGCACCGTGCCTCCCTGGCCAGCCTGAAGCCCACTCCCAGGCCTGCACATCTGTCTTCCAAAGGTAGCTAGAGTTCAGGCCAGCACTCCAAACTCCATCCAGGCCCTGGCTTTCAGGAGACAGAGCCAGCAACAAGCAGTCAGCAGAGGCCGATGGCCTGGGAAAAGGCCAGGGAGGGTTGGCATGGCCATGGGGGCTCTGGGAGCCAGGCCAGGCTACCTTCCTGCTCTCCATACCCCAGCCCCAGAGCACCCTGCCCAGCCACCTCCACATCTGCCAGAACATGTCCCGGGGACCCCAGGGCCTGTCCTCCGGGTGCCTGTAAGGATGTGCGTGGGTGTGCCCTCTGTGGTCCTGCCCCAGCCCCACCCAGCCACAGGGATGCTGCTCACCACACAATACTGGCTGAGGCAAGTGGGAGCAATGACCTCGGTCTGCCCGCACTCTGGACTCCAGCCCTGCCCTGCATGGCAGAGCCCCCTGAAAACTGGGGTGATGGCTTTCCCTGGCTTTCCTTTCTGTTACTTTCTGTTACCATGGTCCCCAGGCGGGGAGGATGCCAAGAGGGCAAGGGCCAGGGCTGCACCCTCTTTGTTGATTCACAGCAGTTTTTACACCACTTGGCAACACAGCACACAGATACAGAGCCACAAGGACTCACACAGTCAGACATAGTCACAGATAACAGACACACACACATGATCACAGTCACCCAAACACACACACATACACAGCTGGAACCCTCCCAACATGGCACCCCCACTGGCCTCTCAGGCTCCTCCCCCTACTCCCCACCCCAGATACAGGCTCCCATCCTGCATGGTCCCTATACCCCTTGAGATTCAGCTACAGGATCCAGGCCCCTACTTCCAGCTGCCCCCCCCCATGCCTCTCTGTCTTTCCCCTCCAGAGCCAAAAGGACACAGCTGCCCCATAGCCACACAGGCTTCTACTGTGCCCACAGCAGCCCTCCTGTACCAGGATGTACATGAATGCCAAGAACCTTCAGCTCATGCTGTGCCCACCCTGTGCCATGGCTGCGTGGGAGCCACACCAGGACCCAGATGGCAGGGCTGGCCTTTCAGTGCCCTGCTGATGACCTGCCCACTGAGGAAGCAGCTATCACCCCTACTGGCAGCTCTGTTCCTGGTCCTCGGAGCCCTGCCCACCAGGGCTGGCTGTCAAGCCCAGCCCAGAGTGCAGGACTCACAGGTGGAAGGGGCCAGGACCCCAGCCCAAGGCTGCTCAGCCCACAGCCTCTGCCCAGAAGAAGGGTGGAGGCCTGGCCAAGGGTGACGCCCCATGCTTCCTCCACCATCCTCTGTTGTCCACAAGTTCCCAGGGCCTATTTTCAGCAGCTCTGTCTCCTGGGACCCCATCTGGCCTGGCCCCAAAGTAGAAAAGGCAGGGGCATGGGGGTTGTTGAGTGGCCCCCAGAGGGGCTCCTTGACCTTCCAGGGCTCAGAGTGGATCCACATGTCAGCTGTGATGGTGTGGAGGCACGGGGGGCTCCTCAGCCTGCCCGACCTGCACCTAGGCCTCTTGTCTGGCCAGAATGGGCCAGGCCTGGTACCGGGCCTGCCTCCTGGAGCCAGGCCCTGGCAGCCAGCTCGAGTTCCGCACTACCTGCCGGGCAGCTGAGGCTTGCTATGTGTAGCTCTGAGGCACATTCTCTCTCTTTCTCTCTCTCTCTCAGCACACCATGTGAGTCAGGTCCTGGCTGAGGTCCCGCCCTCACCTGGTGCCCTTGTCCCTGCCTGCCTGGCCTGTACCAGCCCCCCAAGAGCCCACGGCCATCTGTTTTCAGGGACCCATAGGAGTGCTACGTTTGGGGATGCCTGACTGGAGAGGGGTCAGAAGGGGCGTAGCACTGGGAAAGACAGGGCTGACGCTGGGGTCTCTGGCTCAGGGACGGGGTGGGGGTCAGAGGCTAGAGGAGCAGAACCTGGGGACAAGCAATGAGCCAGGCCCCACGGAGCGGATCCAGTGAAGGCCGGCGTGCGCTGCAGTTGCTGTGCTCTCTGGCCTGAGAGCAGGGAGGGCCCCTTGCTGGCCAGAGGGTGCAGAAGGCAGCTCCTGCCACCTGTACATGGGGGGTATCCAGGACTCTGGCACAAAGGAAGCACCTGGTAGGAACTGGAGGGGCTCTGGGGAGCTGCAGCCATCAGGAGTCCTGGCAGGGCGTGGGCCCCCAGCCACCACCACTAGCGCTGCCCAGCAACGCCTGCAGACAAACAGTACCGGCACCCGCCCTGGTTTCCATGACAACCCCTTAGAAACAAACATAACTGCGCGTCATCCGCCCCCAGCCGGAAGCGGGCAGGTCCTGCAGGGACAGGCCTGGGGGTAGAGCGCTGCTGTCCCAGTGGCTGAGCCTCCCTAGAGACCCCATCCTGCCTCCATCACCCCCACCATGAGTCTGCATAGTTTCCACTGGCAGCTTCTAGGGGAGCGGCACAGCCCTCCCAACATCCCATTTCCTGCTAAGAGCCAGTGTCAGAGTGGACACAGGGTGCAGGAGGGCCAGGTTCTCACCAAAGCCAACCCCCACCAGGAGCGCAGCCAGGCAGCCCCACCTGCCGCAGCCTGCTCCAGCCCCCTCCTCCCACCACAGGCTCGCATTCTGGCATTCCAGCCTGGAGGAGCCGGCCAGCCTGCCCAGTTCCAACTTGCCAGGAGGGCAGTGATACTATTGGCAGACACTGGAACAAGCTCTGTGGCCCCTCCCCTGGCCCAGGGACACGGATGGCTGTCCACAGGACACTGGGTCCAGTGGTGGCGACTCAGCTATCTCAGCTGGTAGACGGGGAGAGGGAAGTGGAGCAGCCGCTGGCAGCACCAGGGCTCTGGTGGGCGGGGGAGGTGGAGCAGCTGCTGGCAGCACCAGGGCTCTGGTGGGCGGGCAATGGGAATGCGGGACTGAGGGTTCAGGCTGGGCAGCAAGAGGGAAAGACCCGGGTCCCATGTGGCAGACCAGGGGTGCCCTCTAGTGGACATCACACATGAGGCAGGTGCAGCAGCACCCAGGCAGCTCCTGGCCAACCCTGGGGGCCAGGGGGCCCTTGCTCTTGGATAGAGCCCCCTTCTCCCACCCTGGGCCTCCCCCACCCACAGGCACCAATCCCCACTCCAAACCCTGGGGTGCAGTCTCACCTCATCCTCTCAGCACCCCCAGCCTCTGCCCAGGGCCCCTCCCCTCCATGGCTGGCACCTGCAGGAGTCCAGACCCAGGTCCACAGCCCCCCTGCAAAAGCCGGGGCTCTGTCCCATGTGGGACCCACTCTGGATTACACTCCCCACCCCCTGCCCCCAGACACACAATCTCGCAATGCTCAAACACTTTATTGCCACCTGCGTGGGGGGTATACCGTGTGGGTGTGGTGGGTGCTGAGAGGCTAGGTGGGAGCTGGCAGGGCTGCTGGGCACTGTGCAGAGAGGTGAAGCCACCTCCAAGGCATAAATAACACTGGGCAGCGGCAGAGGGAGACCCTGAGGCCCAAGCAGGCACGGCAGGTTCCAACGGCCAAAGGCAGCGGGAGGGCCAGTGCTGCCACGCGGGGACACCTAAGGCCGCACGGGGCCCTCGGGGTTGGCATCATAGATGTAGCTTCCCACGGCTCCAGTGTTCACTCCTGCAGGAAGAGGCGGCAGCTGCTCAAGGGCGTGCTTCCAGCCAGGCGCTCAGCAGGGACCCTCATGACCCCTGACCACACACTCACCCTTGGGTCCGAAGAGGATTCCATAGCAAGGCTTGTGGCAGTAGGGCTGCCCGTCGTGCTGGGACCGGAGGCAAGGAGGTGCTAAACATTCCTCCCCTGCTGGCGCCACACTGGGAGCCTGGATCCCCACCCTCAGGGAAGGCTCCCGACCCCTCCAGGACCCCTGGGTGTCCTCCCTCGGGGAAGGCATCCAACCCCTCCAGGACCTGAGTCCTTGGGGAAAGGCTAGCTGCATCAACAGCACGAGGCTCGCTGGGGGCCCCAGGGGCGTCCCTGCCCTCCACACCATGTCCTCACCTCGGCGTGCCCGCCAGGGGTCAGTGTCTTGCTGCAGCGCTCACAACGCAGGCATGGCCGGTGCCAGTCCTTGCCCAGGGATGTCACCTTCTCAGCTGTGGGGAGGCAGTGATGTCACTGGGTGCACCCCGCAGCCTGCGGTGGCCCAGGGCCGGCCAGGGCGCAGCACTCACCAAAGTAGACCCGCTTGCCACAGCGAGGACACATGTTGGGCTCTCCAGTGAAGGTGGTGACGCTGGAGGCTGAGGGGCAGGCTGGGGTCAGCGGGGGGGTGGGGGGGGCCTGGGTACCGCCCCTCCCCTCCCCTCCAATCCCCTACTCCCTACTCACCTTTGCTGGGCCCTTTTGGGGCGCTGCTGGCTTTCCGCTCCTCTGGTCGGGCTGCGGAGACCTCGATGGGGCCAGTGACCTGGGGTCCACCGGCGGGGGCCTTCTCGTAGATGTAGGAGCCAGCACCCCCGATGTTCACACCTGCGAGCGGCCAGCACGTGGATGCTTGCACCCATGCGTCACTCCCTCCCACTCAGCCCTCCTCCCAGCACAGGGCTAGGGGTGGGATGTGTGCTCACCTTTGGGCCCGAAGAGCGTGGCATAGCAAGGCTTGTGGCAGAAGGGCTTCCCGTCATGCTAGGGAAAGTGCAGGATGAGCACGTGTCCACAACTGGGCCCCGCGCCCCCAGCCTGCCACGGGGCTCACCTCTGCATGGCCGCCCGGAGTCAGGGTCTTGTTGCACCGCTCGCATTTGAGGCAGAACTTGTGCCAGTCCTTGCCCAGAGAGCTCACCTTCTCAGCTGTGGGCAGGGGGGTGTGAGGCTCTTCTGACCCCTACACACCCATGGGATCCTCCCTGTACCTCCATGCCTCCCTCCCTATCCCCACACCTACCTCCCCCATACACACCTTTCTCTCTTTCCCACACCTGCCTCTCCTCACACCTGCCTCTCCCCTCCCCACACCTGCCTCTCCCATCCCCCCACACCTGCCTCTCCCCTCCCCACACCTGTCCCCTCCTCACATGCCCCCTCCCCATACCTCCCTGCCCCCTCCTCACACCTGCCTCTCCCATCCCCCCACACCTGCCTCTCCCCTCCTCACACCTGTCCCCTCCTCACATGCCCCCTCCCCATACCTCCCTGCCCCCTCCTCACACCTGCCTCTCCCCTCCTCACACCTGCCTCTCCCATCCCCCCACACCTGCCTCTCCCCTCCTCACACCTGCCTCTCCCCTCCCCACACCTGCCTCTCCCCTCCCCACACCTGCCTCTCCCATCCCCTCCCACACCTGCCTCTCCCCTCCCCACACCTGCCTCTCCCCTCCTCACACCTGCCTCTCCCCTCCTCCCACACCTGCCTCTCCCCTCCCCACACCTGCCTCTCCCATCCCCCCACACCTGCCTCTCCCATCCTCCCACACCTGCCTCTCCCCTCCTCACACCTGCCTCTCCCCTCCTCCCACACCTGCCTCTCCCCTCCCCACACCTGCCTCTCCCCCCCCCCCACACCTGCCTCTCCCATCCTCCCACACCTGCCTCTCCCCTCCCCACACCTGTCCCCTCCTCACACCTGCCTCCCCTCCCCACACCTCCCTGCCCCCTCCTCACACCTGGCTCCTGGCTCCTGGCTCCTGGCTCCACCAGGACCTGGCAGAACCAGCAGCAGCTCCCAGGCCGCCAGGCAGGGCAGGGAAGCTGGCGCTCTGGGAGCTCCTACTGGATCCCACTAGTCTATATTTAGCTTCCGGATAGGAGCTGCCACGTTGGCGCCAAAGGCTCGAGGCCAGCTGTCGTGGCAGTTAGAACCCCCACCTCTCTCCCACACTGCAAGGGCCCCAGTGGGCGGAAGCCAGGACCTGTCTAGGGAGCAGGGCAGGAAAGGGCGGGGGAGAAAGAGGCAGGAAGAGCGGCTGAGCAGGGCCCATCCGAAGGGAAGGGGCTGGGGCTGGCCGGAGGTGGCCGCCCTGTCTGGCAGGAAGGGCCACGGGCCAGAGGCTCTTCTGGCTCAGGGTCTTAGAGAGGCCCCAGCACAACCCACCTGGGTCCTGGGTCCTGGGTCCCAGGGCGAGGCAGTACCAGCTGGGCTTTCCTGGGGACATCCAGGCCACCAGGCCCCTAGTGTGCCCCAGTCAAGAACAGACTGTTAGCCTCAGGAGCTCTGCCGGCCCTGGCAGGAAACTGACCCTCGAACCCACAGTGCATCTATGGCCACGCACTGGGGACATAATTGATTGGGTCTCTGGCCCTGAAAAGGAGGAGGGGACACAGAGTGGAGGCGTCCAGTCCATTTGGGTCCAAGCCAGGCTCTGCCAGGTACTGGCTGCCTGGAGGTGGAAGGCCAGGCTCCAGAGCCACGGCCCCCTTTGTGCCTCCCAGGCAGGACACAGGCCACTAGGGCCTGCCAGGGCCTTCGTCAACTGTGGCAAGGGCCAGCGGCTGCCCAAGTAGACAGAGTGCTTTTGCTTCCCGGGGTTGGCCCTGGCCCCAGACAGCCCCCAGTTGGCTGGCCTGGGGCAAAGTAATGGGCAGCTGGGCTGCAGGAGGATCCTGCCAGGGACAAGCCCTCTGTCCTGGCCAGGGCCTAAAGAAGGGCTGAGGCGGAAGCCCCTCAGGTCACAGCAACACCAGGACAAATCTGGCCGGCAACACTCGGCTTCCCCCCACTCCCTCCCGCACATCCTGGACATGACCACTGCTCCCGGCCGGCCCCTCCCATCCCTGGGCCGTCCTGCAAGCTGTCCTCTACGCAGGCACTGGCAGCTCAGTGGGCACCGCTGGGGGCAGGCCTGGGGCTGGGGAAGGGCCTGCCTACGGGGGGGGAACAGGACTCTTCTGACCTTAAGGAGGTGGGGGTTCCAAAAAGCTGGCGCTGCCGTGGGCGCAGGGACCAGCGCATCCCTCCACCTCTACCCATTCCCCCCCAACACCACACCCACGTGAAACTGCTGGGTGAACTCGCCCAGGCGGGCACCGGATGCCAAGGTCGCTCCCGCTTAGACTGAACCAGGCAGAGCCCAAATCCCACCCGACCAGCCTGGACAGAGGTCAGAGTAGAGGCTGGGCGCGGGGGCCATCACGGCTTGGTGCCTGGCCAGTCCCTCCGAGGGGTCCAGGGAGTGGAGCACAGAGGGCTCCGAGCGCGTGGGAAGCTTCGGCAACGTGCGGCCCCGCCCGACCCCGCCCCGCGCGCAACTGGGATTGCGATGGCCCGCGAGGTCTGCGCGCTCCCCAAGCCCTGAGCTCGTCCCGAGGACCCACGCGCGCCCCCAACACGGGTCAATCGCCTCGAGATTCGGCTTGGCCGTCCCGCGTCGCCGCGGCTCCACCCTCGGGCCGTACCCGCGTGGGGAGTGCGGCGAGTCGCGGTCGGGCCGCGCATCCCAGGGCCGGGCCAGGCGCACCCGAGCGAACTGCGGGCTGCGCGCCAAGGGCCGCGGGCGCGGCTCGGACCCGGCCGGGGCCGGCACTCACCGAAGTATACGGTTTTGTCGCACTTGGGGCACTTGGAAGCCATGGTCTGCGAGCCCGGTCGGCCCGCGCCCTCCGCCCGCGCCGTCTCCGCACCGTCGCTTGCGGCCGCGCCCGCGCCTCCGCCCGCCCCGCCGCCAGCCGTCCATTGGCTCGGCAGCCGGGGCGGGGCCTCGGGAGCCCGCCGCCGCCCCTGGCCGCCGGGCGGTGGGGGACGCGGGGCTGAGGGCGCACCTGCCACGGACGGAGCACCCCGCGTCCCTGGCGTCTCAAGTGGGGTCTGCAGGGGCGCGACCCGGCCGTTTCCGTGGCAACGTCGGGGCTGCGGCCCCGGTGCGTCCCCAGGCCGTGGGCGGGGGTGCAGAACCTAAGGTCGCAACTCGCTGGACCGGTCTCCTGCACTCGGACCCTGAGCAGCCATCACGGCGAGGGGGCTCGGGCGAGACCCCACCCCCAACTCGCCACATTGTGCTGCCCGCTTCCCTTTGTTGCTTAGTTTCCATAGCAACAACCGCGCGGTTTGGGGACCAGAGTCGGATTCCAGGCCAGGCAGCCTGGATGTCATTTGGATGCAGGCCGCCGCGGGGTAGCCAGACAAGAAAGGGATGCCCAGGGCGTGACACTGGTGTGCTAGTGGGCCCTGGGTAAACAGCGCCACATGGGGGGGGGGGTGCGTTAGGGAAGACAGGTGGAGTGGGGAAGAGCTGTTCGCTCCTGCAGGCCCCTAGGTCAAGCAGCTTCCCGGCTAAGTAGAGGGAATGGGCTAGGGCACTTCCCAACCACCGGGGCTGTGCTCGCTGGGCAGCCTCGCAGGCTCCTCCCCTTACAGGTTCAGTACCCCACTGAGCCTGGCAGGGATGACGGAGCAGAGGACCCCTCAGCTCCTGGTGCGGTCCCTGGCCTGGTCCCTTCCCCCTCACACACCAAGTAGTTACAGCCATTGCCATGGTAACAGCAGCCCAGAAACAGGTGCTACCCCCAAGCCCGACTGACCAGCCTGACCAGCTCCCCAGCACCTGTGGACTGGAGCCAACCACAGCTTGGGAAACAAAGGGGGAGGGAGGTTGTCCCTGGGTAGGGTGGCCAGCTTCTCCCTTGCTCAAGGCAGTCATGAGCCCACTGTCCCCACTTAGTACCAACTTTGAGGCCCCTCCACCTGGAATTCCAGAGCCGTTGAGGGTAGAGCTGGCTTGCACAGGTGTCTGGTTGGAAGGCGACTTTGGGAAGGGGCCCCAAGTGTCCCAGCCCTGGTCGGGATGGGGGAGGCTCCTCCCAGGTGGCAGGGTGGGGCGGGCAGCTGCATCCAGCTTGCTCCTGCCTGCCCCCAGCTGTCGTCCTGGGTGCCCAAGCCAAGGTCCTGCAGTGACGTGGCCACCCTGGGGGGGGGGGAGAGGGACATGGTCAACAGCCACACAGGAGTGGCCTTCATAGCCCTGAGGCCAGGCTGCAGGCAGGCACCCAGCAGCCACAGCCTCCTGCAGTGAGGCCTCAGCTTTGCCAGTCCCAGGCAGGGCCAAGAGGGTCCTGGGGTGGGTGGGCTGCAGAGGTCTGGGGTGGAGGGGCAGGCGTCTCTCCCCTGGCCTTCCTCCTCAGCCCTGTAAGAAAGGGAAGCTGGGGTCCTGGTCGGCTGCAGCCCCTTCTGCCCCCTGGGCCCCATGGCAAGCCTGGGCCTTATCTCTCCCCAGGGAGGGAAAAGTGGTTTCTATTTTCATGTCCAGGCTGAGAGCTCCATATCAGGCTGTCTGAGTGGAGTGGGGGTGGGGTGCGGGAGGGCTGGCTACCAGGTACAGCGACCTCATGGGGGGGCAGTGATGCCCACAGCCTTGGCTACACTGGGGCCTGGCTCCTGTAGGTGCACAGGTGGGCCCTGGCCCTGAGCACCGGGCAGAGCTGACCAGCCATGTCCACGGTTCTGGAGGTCTCCTCAGGAATGGACCAGCTCGCTCTGCAGCGTGGAGGCAGGCCTGGGCCCAGCCAGTTCTCCGGGCCCTGCAGCAGCTGAGGCCATGGCCTGGGCTGGCCACAGCACCCAGCGCACTGGGCAGCAGCAACAGCAGCCACCGAGGACTCGAGGGGGCCCTGGGGTCCTCAGGGAATGAGAGACGCCAAGGGCGAGTTGGGTTTTTTCTTTTTATGAGCTTTTTTTCCTTTGTTTTTGTTTAATATGAAAATTACTTGAAAAGACAAAGGGCAAACCCAAAAGGCAGCTAGGCTGGCCGCCACCAGCCACACTGATCTAACATTCCGGGTGTAAGTTACAGAGCTGAAGTTCATCTACAAAAAAAGTAATAAAAATAAAATTTAAAATGGCACCTTCAACAGAACACAACAGAAGCGCAGGGCCCAGCCTCGGGCGGGGGCGCCTCGTGCAGGCCCGACCCTCAGCTCCGCTCCAGCCAGAAGTCAACACAAAGCTAAAACAACTGCTCGGCATTCTGGGAATAAGTTAAACTGTCGCCGCTGCCCAGCGGCCGCCGGAGCAGCGGCATTTGCAGGGGAGAGTGGGAATGGGGCGCTGGCGATCTGAGGGCGCTTGCTTGGCGCCAGGCAGCGAGGGCACAGCCGCTAGTCCTCAATGACGATGGGCTCATCGTTGACAGGCGCGGGCACGGGCGCAGGCCGCAGCGGCAGGGCCTGGCTCGGGCGCAGGGCAATGGGCTTGTAGGGCCGGCGGGCAGCACGCTTGGTCTCCGAGGATGAGAGCAGCTTGCGGATCTTCCTGTGGGCGGGAGGCAGGCGGTGAGGGCCAGGCGTGGCTGCACGCCAGAGCCCCCGGCCGCCCCACGGAGGCCCCACCTGGTCTCCTCGGTGGCCATGTAGAACACGTCGTCGGGGGCGTCAATCCAGTTCATCCGCCGCCGCTTCACAGGTGGCAGTGAGCCCCCCCGAATGAGGCGCACTTTGGTGGGGTAGGACTTCCCGTTGAGTAGGAGGTTCCGGCTTGGTCCCTGTGCCAGACAAGGCGTAAGGCAGCTGGCAGGAGCACAGTGCCCTGGGTACTGCCCACTGCCTCTCCCGTCTTACCATGTGCCGGGGCTGTCCGTGGTTTGCCAGACCTGACGGACAAGGAGAGCATGGTGAGGCCCAGGTCCCAGGGCTCACAGTCACCACTGTCCGGGCCGCCTCAGATCTGACAGCTCCTGCTGCAGGCCTGGGTAGTGCCTGGAAGGTCTGCCCACAGCCACACAGCCCTCACCCCAGCTGGCTCAGCTGGCCAGTGTCCAGGACAGCGTTCTGTGCCTGGAGGTTCACAGTGTGCTGGCAGGTGGCCCAACCCTCCGCCCAGCAAACCCCCTTGGGCCTTGGGAGACTCCCCTAGCCTGCTTTACTAGGGGAGGGAGTGGGCACCATTGACCCCAGGCCCTGAGCTGGGACAGCCCCGCCTGTGGCTACTTACCCAGGTAAGTGCCTACCAGAGCGACCGGACAGCGGGAGGAAGAGATGTTAGGGTTAGGTGCGCGTGCGCAGCCCTGGGCCCGAGGCAGCAGGCAGCATGGCTGGGTTAGTGCGGGAGGGGCGGCCCTGGCACCACCTGCCAAGACCTCCAGGGCCCAGCCAGCCCAGTTCTCTGGCTCTAGGGGCTGAGCGCCACCCTCAGGCGGCCCAGACCTGCCCAGCAGGATGCTCCCTCCCCAGGCTCCCGTAGTTAGGGTCCACAGCAGGACAAAGGACCTAGCTGTGGAAATTCAGCAAGAATAAATGGTCTTTCATCTGGCTCATTTGTTACTCGTTTTGAAGCCTGGGGGCTGTTGTCAGACCGCCCTCCCACCCACAAGGTTGGCCTATGCCCACTGGCTGCAGAACACGAAGCCAGCCCGAGCAGGCACAGCTGTGGGCTCCATGGAGGGCACCAAGTAGGAGTGGCCAGGGCAGGGACTGACTGCAGAGCCCAGCACCTCCAGGACCTCACCAGCAGTAGTCCAGAGGCAACTGCTGGGGCAAAGCTTGAGAGGTACAGGTGCAGCTGGATACCCAAGGCCCACTGCCCTCCCCAGGCCCAGGCTAGTCTGCTCCTCCCCCAGCGGAAGGGCCCACATGGCATCGCAGGGGCAACGCGGACAGCCCAAGCATGCGGCATCACAGCACAAGGGTGGGCAGCGGGGGCGCCAGGGCAGGCAGCAGGCACAGTCCCACATGGCACGGGGCCAGGAAGGGCCAAGTGCGGAGCCCAGGGCACCCAAAATGGCCGGCCTGACCGTGTGGACGGCCCCACGCGTGCCCCGGGCCGCCCGCAGGGGCCAGCACGGGCAGCACAGCACACACAGCGTGTTGACGGGCTGGCCGCAAGCGGCTGCCCTGGGCCTTACCCCTACTGGGCATCAAGAGGCGCTTCTTCATGTTGCCTGGCAGCGCCAAGGGACAGAGAGGAGAGAAGACAGTGTCAGGGCCTGTGGAGCGCCGGGCTTTGGCCCGGGCCAGCCAGCACTGTTCCCACTCACCGTCTACCCCGTTGTGCTGCTCATAGCTCCGCTTGCCCAGGATGGTGGGCGAGCCGTTGTTGATGACAGGGGCTGCCTTGGCGGGCGTCAGGCTGCACAGCACGCTGGAAGTGCCTCTCACGGGCTCGGGCTTCGGGGGGCGCGGGTGGGTCTCTGCAGGTGGCATGGCCAGGGTCAACCCGAGGTGGCCACACAGGGATGGGGGAAGGGACCCCTAACAGGTATGGGGCAGGCAGCTTGCGGCACAGGGCTTCCAGCGGCCCAGGGTCCCCCAGCCAGCACACCCCTGGGTGATGGCCAGCAGCTGAGAGAATCCAGACGCAGCCATCACACGTCTGCCTCATTCAGGCCACCAGCGCTGATGGCAGAGGGCTGGCTGCGGGCCCAATACAGAACTAACCACCCGCTAGCCTGGCCAGACAGGCCTCCCGGCCCTGCCCACCTTCTCCCCCAAGGCAAGGGCTGGGCCAGCCTTGGGGCTCAAGACCCAATAAAGCCAGCAATGCCAAAGCCACTCATGTCTGTGCGGAGGGCACTTAGCTCACAGTTCCGGAATGTTCCCTCCCAGAGGAAAGGATGGAGGCAGGGCCCAAAGCCCCGGCTCAGAGCCGAGGGCCTCTGCTCCACCGAGGGGGAGCCCGCCCTCAGC